GGTCGGTGACCTAACTTACGCTTCCTCAAAGCGCAAAGCTACGGCAGCCCCGCTGCAATTACTGTTGGAGAAAGCGTATTGCGATCTGCTCCGCTCATATTGGTTATAATCGAAATTTAAATTTAGCAACTTGACGCGTGAAGAGCAAGTGGCCTGCGACGCCAGCCTGGTGCCAGCTCCACATACACGATGGTTTTGTTAGCATAGTCACATGAGGCGCGAAGAATCCGCCAGAAGTTTGTAAAGCTTCATGCATATGTGCCCTGTCGCTTAGTGCTATCTTGCATTGCATACACGTTAGATATCATCAAGTGCAGTCTCACACGAAAGTACGTTTGCCGCGGCAAATGTGGTGTGTTTAATAAGGTTCAGTTGGCTGCCTGAATCTTTACTGTTGCACGTGCTATTGTGTGGCACTAACTTCTTATTGTGAGACAGCACCTTGTAATAATAACATATATAAATGCTATGCTGCTGTCTCTAATTAAAATTGTCTGAATTTAGCTTCCATAATGATACGTCGAGGATCGCAACGATACGTCAAAGCTGGATTTGTATCATGATGACCGTCAGTATAGCAAGTATTTCTTCGATTGACGCTCGCTTATAATAGGAGGCTATTGTGCCGTTACTGCTTTGCCATGAGCGTGAATGCTGTTGGATCTCTGCAGAGCCATTGTTGATGTTTCATGTACTTCAAGAAGTGAGCAAAAGTTACATATGCCAATCGTCTGTCTATTCGAATCAAATGGTATATGTTTATTTATTTACCGCTTGATCGATGCGGTCTTCTGTTTCTTCACTAAAGTCTTCTGAAGTACCAATATCATCGTCTAAGTTGACGCGAGCACGTCTAACGGTCGAGCTGATAAAGAGGAACGAAGAGCGTAATTTACAAAACAAATCTTGAAGTTGAGCATTGTCTCACATGTCAAAAAGCAACCCGATGTGCGTACAGCGCCGGTTGATTGCTTCTGACGTGAGCTTTTACAGCAAGTGTGGAAAAGCAAAATATGTCTTAATGCTTATTTCATGTGTGGCGTGACAAGAAGCCCCTTCAGACTTATCGCGCTCCTAAGAAGACAATACTGCCTCGAATGGTGGTAACCTTACACCGACTAGGTCACGTCAGCTTGCTGAACTCGATGTACGTCAATTTTGATGGGATTAACTTTATTCTTACAGATTGTTTGTAGAACTGCTTGAAGTCTTCTTGGAAGAGCTGAAATAGTTCCATCTTGCATTCCAAACCCTCTATCACGTGGAGGCCGTTTTGCACTCTCTTCAAGGCTGGCGACGTTTGCGTTGGTTATCAACACGTTGCCATAGACAAAACTTAATTGGCTGGCTGCTCCATCTTTACAATATTTGTTTGTCGGGCAGATTCGCGTTTGCAGTCTGCATCTTCGCGGTGATGATTATAAACTTACTCCTGCAGTTGTTGAGTCCATGCACACCGCAAGTTATGTTTGAATGGTTTGTTCTACGCTGTATCCGCCGGCGGACACTTTCTGAGCTGCATAATCAACCACAGTATCAATCTAATACCAAGTATATGCATCTTCTAGGAGCACATTAGATTCGTCACACTTCTGACGAGCGGCGAAATGGTACTTTTAAAACTCAAATGACAGATCGAAATTGCACCAGCCACTACTCTTTCTACTCTTTCTGCATGTATCACAATTGTCAGATACTTTGGGGATGTATATCATTCATAAACCTTCAGGTTCTCCTGCAGGACACTTCACCTCATTCCGGTGTCACATCTCCCGATTTTCTGTAGCACGATTTCTGGTCACGTCTTAACAGCCTTTATTTTGATTTATCGCAGCAATTAAAACATATTGCTGTCACTACACTCTTGCACCTCTTCGTGTTTCCAAATGAACAGTACCCACTTGCTTTTGCCAACAGACCGATCATTTTCCAGAACGTTCGGTCAGATGTTTGAAGGCTACGGTATCTTAAAAACTAAGAAAGGGGACTGCTAGTTTCACCCTTGACTGACGGCATTGCCGTCGCTCTCTCTTTATCTTTACCAGCACACCTTATTCACACGGTTCGCGCATTCCGTTTAATTCTTGTTTTACGAGGCAAATACTCAAAAGCTACAGCTTAATTTGCACACAGCTAGATCTATTGATAGGCGTGGGAGTACACTACTTATGCATACATCTTAGATTATTGTTCCTTTCCTGCAGTCACAACGCCCTCTTCGCATGATCATATACAACATGTGCTGCGAAAAATACTGTCTGTGTGAATATCGAACTTTAACACATATAAATTGTTCAGCAGAAAAAGTCGGTAAATAACTCTGCATTTGTTTCTTTGATGAGTTCTCGAATTATTAATCAACAATCATATTGTGCCCTTAAATTTATAAATCGCGTTTGTGGCTGAGAAAACAAGACCTTTACCTTTTCGACAAAATGATGCGATCAGCAATGTATCACGTATCTCGTCGCGCGGGAGCCTCAATTACAATCAGTGGACGACGTGGCGTCTTCAAAAGATCAGTTGATCTTCGTGAGTGTGTCGCTCATGCGCGTGTTTTGCAGCACACTGCCAGCCTTGTGCCGACCAGTCTGCACTTCAGCGCCTGCTTCAGTACAAGTGCCGCGGACGACACAGGTGCACATTATTTTTGCCTGATGTATGTACAATGACTGAACTTTTTTTTGCACTTCCAAAGCAGCAGCTCAACGTCACGAGTTTCAAGCTGAAACACGTCAGCTTCTGGACATTGTAACTCACTCCATCTACACGGACAAGGAAGTTTTTATCCGCGAGCTAATTTCCAATGCATCTGATGCATTGGAAAAGCTGCGTCACTTGCAGTCAACTGGAGCATCTATTCAAGACGCCGAGATTGAGCCTAAGATTGTAATCACCACAGACGAAAAGGCTGGCACGCTTGTCATTGAAGATACCGGTCTAGGCATGTCAAAGGAGGAGATGATTGAAAATCTGGGTACAATCGCGCGCTCGGGATCAAAGGCATTTTTAGAGCAGTTGAAAGAGAGCACCTCCGTCGAGTCCGGTGATGCACTTGGTGGAATAATTGGTAAGTTTGGCGTTGGTTTCTACTCCGCTTTCATGGTCGCCGATAAAGTGGAGGTGTTCTCGAAGTCGGCAATCTCTGGCCGAAAGAGCCACGTCTGGCGCTCTGATGGCAGCGGATCGTATGAAGTTGCCGAGGCAAACGATGTAGAGCGAGGCAGCAAAATTGTGCTTCACCTGAAGGACTCATGCAAAGAGTTTGGCACCAGAACTAAGGTGGAGTCTATCATCCGCCGCTACTCAAATTTCGTGTCATTCCCAATTGTTCTGGATGGCGAGACAGTAAACACGGTACAGGCCCTTTGGACTAAGAGCGAAAGCGATGTCACAGAAGAGGAGTATGCTGAGTTCTATAAATTTATTGCCAACGCATTTGATGAGCCAACATACCGCATTATCTTCAAGGCAGATGCTCCTATCGAGCTCAAGACTCTCTTTTTCATCGGATCTTCTCACACTGAAAAATTTGGTTATGCGCGCCTGGAGCCCGGCGTGAGCTTGTATTCGCGTAAGGTTCTTATTGAGCGCAATTCACCCGATATTTTGCCAGACTGGATGCGATTCGTGCGAGGTGTCGTTGACAGTGAAGACCTCCCGCTCAGTCTTTCACGAGAGAAAATGCAGGACAGTCGTTTAATCCATAAGATTCGCGATGTTTTGACAAGAAAGATTATTCGCTATCTGGAGCGTGAGGTTCGGCATTTGCAATCATACCCATTTTTGAAATGTCTAACAATAGGTTTGTTTTGTAACATCAGTCCACTAAAGAACCCGAAAAGTTCGAGAACTTTTTTAAAGAGTTTGGACAATTTATCAAAGAGGGAATTTGCACGGACTTTGTAAATAAGGAATCTTTAGCGAAACTTTTGCGCTATGAGTCTAGCCACGTTGATGGTGGCAAGTTGACGACCCTCGATGAGTACGTGTCGCGCTGCCCACCGGACCAAAACGAAATCTACTACTTGTGTGCACCAACTCGGGCCATTGCCGAAACTTCACCGTACTTCGAAGTGTTTAAGTACGTTGGCCCATCTTTTAAAAGTATACTTTGTATGGATAGTTTTTTGATTTTCAATTTTACGTGCAACAGGAAAATGAATAAGGAAGTGTTGTTTGTGTATAGCCCCATTGATGACTTCGTCATGACGAATATTGCTGAGTTCAACGGACGCAAAGTGACTTCTGCAGAGCACGCCAAGGTTGATGTTGACGCTGCGGATAGTGGAGTCGGAAAGAAGCTGTCAAAGGATGAGCAGGATTCCTTTGGTGCCTGGTTGAAGGTGACGCTGGAGGCAGATGTAAAGGAGATCAAGGTATATTCTTTCTTGTCAATAGAGTTGTGTTTGATGCTAACCACATTGTAATGTTTCTGTAGTTTACCTCTAGATTGACTGACTCACCAGCCATTATCGTAGACCACGAGTCAGCTTCAATTCGCAGGTATAGAGCTGTTAATGTGTAAATGTGTTTGTTAACGGTAATGATCGTTTTCGCGTATCTAAACTGCTTCAGGATGATGCAGATGGTGAACGACCGAGCAGGCCAAAATACGAACAGTCTTTCTAAGAATATCATGGAATTGAATCCGAATCATAGCATAATCGTAGACTTGAATGCATTGCGAGATGTCGACGATGCGCTCGCGAAAAAAGTAGCTCGCCAGGTTTGTTACTTTGAATTCAGCGTTGATTGCCAAATTCGAGCTAATGAAAAATCCTCAACACAACAGATCTATGTCAATGCGACAGTAGCTGCTGGTCTCGTGGAGGACGGTCGCTCCATTCTCAGTGGTCTGAACGATATACTTGCCGAGCTTTTAGAGAAAAGTTTGCATAAGTAGAGCAATCGGGTTCTACGTTGCTATCTTAAAAGAAGTGGAGCAATCTTTCAGCAAATTAATGCAAAACAATTTTGTCAATTTTGAACTGGCATTGTTATTATCTTTTCCTCCACTCACCAGAACTATGGTCTTTGCATTTCGTTCTGCAGCTTCGCGACTGACTCCGGCTGTTGCCGTGTTCCTTGGCGGCGCGACACTCGGTACAACACATTCGAGTGTTGCATTCGCCGAAGATAAGCGTGACCTGCGCGATCTCGAGTTTGGTGTACCGCATGACCGCAAACGTGTGGACCCATTCTCGCCATTCTTTCCGTCAGACAAACATCCATGCACGCACGCAGGAATGTTTATTCCTGGGTGCCATGAGCTTAAAATTTTCTCGGGATCTTCACACTTTGAGCTAGCCGACGACATTGCGCGACGTCTTGGTACTAGAGTGGGCAAAATCAAGTTGGGCCGTTTTGCCGATGGAGAAGTTCAGGTGCAGGTGGGTGAGAGCGTGCGTGGGAAGGACGTGTATCTTGTGCAGAGTCTGGCAAGCCCCGTGAATGACAATATTATAGAGCTGCTTCTCATGGTCAGTACTATGCGTCGTGCGAGTGCTAAAAAGGTCACTGTCGTGCTACCGTAAGTGAAATCTGTATGTACACTCTAGCATGAGTGATCACCAAAAGTTCTATTGTGTCTGTTCATATAGCTATTATGCGTATAAGCACCACCGTCGTGCAAACCCGGCTGCAACCAGTCTAAATTCCAAATTTATTCAAAGTCCTGCAGCTGACATTGCGAAGATGTTGGAGGTCATGGGTGTGGACCGCGTCATTGCTGTAGATATGCAGATGCGCGTTGAAGGCCACGAGGCCTGTTTTTTCAGCTCAGACATTCCTGTGGAGACTATTGAGACTATTATGGCTGGTGTCGAGTACTTCGCCACTCAGGTGCACCTTCGGCGCCCACTTGTAGTGATGGCGCCCAACCCGGAGTGCTTAAGGCGCGCACGTATCTTCCAGACGGGAATTAACAAGTGGCTTCCGGACTCCCCAGCGCAGTTCGCCGTGTTTTTTCACGGGACGGGCAAAAAGGTCTCGGGAGAATATTCTACGGCAGATATTGTGGGCGACGTTAAAGGTGCCGATGTGATTGTTGTTGACGATTTGGTTGACACGAGTGAGACTCTGTCTAAGCTTACGAATCTTGCGCTGAGCAAGGGAGCTCGCAAGGTTTACTGCTTTGCCTCGCATCCGTTACTTACCGGCGACGCGGAGCGCTTGATTGACGAGTCAAACGTGTCGCAAGTGGTTGTGATGGACACAATACCGGCAAACCCGAAGGCTTTTCACTCGGACAAGCTCAAACGCTTGTCAGTTGCGCCCATGTTGGCAGAGCTGATTCAGGCTGAGCACTTTAAGGCGCACTCATATATCGACAAGGTGAATTCACGCGAGGATTTCAAGTACGTGCACCATTATTAATCTACACGCTCTAGAGTTACCCCACTAGTGGTAAAGGTAGGAAGATGACATCAATAATTGTTGATGGTATCGAAGTGTACAAATTGATGTACGCAGTAAGTTAATTCACTCATTCTTCACTTGCTGACTGCTTGCTTTGACTTTCATAATCACTGCTACGCTTCTTCCTCTTCTTCGGCAAACTAGGTGATGCCCACGCTTTGATCGCCATACATATCTGCTTAAATTCGTTGCTTTTCTGAATTGCCACGATTTGATCAGCTATTGTCTGACCCCAGGCTCGCAAAAAATAGGATAGTGCGCTTTCGGCCGCCTCTTGTATCCCCTCCAACTTGCGATCCACATATGGCTCCTTCTTTTTTAAATAAGGGCATAATAGCTTATCATACACAATCGTCGCTCCCTGTTGCCATCCAATACGGCTTAGCATTGTCAGCGGGTAACACTCATACATAGAGGCGCACCTTCGTCTGCGGCAACATCATCCAGAAAAGAAAGAGTGTCTTACTAATATTGTATCCGGGCACGATGCACGTAAGTGGCGACATCACCGTCTCAATGGACGTTAAGGCTCCGTACACGATCCAGTAAGTTAGCCAGTAATTCTTATCGTGCCCACTTTCAGGCCTTTCCAATGCTTTGAAAGACGCATATGCAGGATATGTCATGCCCACAGATAGACACAAGTAGCGCGAGAATGAGACTCCCATTAGACGAATAGGACAATTTGATCTCAATACGACGGAAATGACCGATTAGAAACCAGTCTTCAAAATAGTAGTAGTAAACAATTATATCGGCACTTTCAGTCTTTTGAGTATTCCAAACCGCGAGAAATTTCTCATCCAAGACATCGGGATGGGCAATATGCCAGTCGTAAGCCTTGTCAAGAAGCCTGCACCAGCGATCGAGTTGGAAATGGTGGCTGGATCTAGCATGACAGACTCAGCCACAAGAAGACGAGGATTACCAGACTATGTGTACGAGACTAATCGCTCTCCTTCCACGCGTTCATATCAGCACTCAGAATGTTCTTAAACTCTCTGTAGATGGCGATATCACCAGCCTGCAGGCAAAGTGTGAGTAAAAACACATACATCTCAATATTACGCGTCTGACACTTGTCCTTGACCTCCTTGAAGATGTGGGCTCTCACTGAGTCCCAAACGAGATAGCTACCCCCACCGTCATCAAGCAGAGGGACTTGAAGATCAATCCACCACTTCAACAACGAGCTGTCAACCCATGCTCGCGGCTGGTTCGTGACGTAAAACATTGATCTTCCGAAGCAATCCGGCCGGCTTGCTCTTCCAAATGAGAACTACAACATAATCTCACTCTCAGTCACGGCAAGGATGACAGTAATGGGCATCGATCCAAAACCCGTCGAACGAACTACGATACGCCGTGCACAGGTCAACAGTACAGCTCTCGCTTCTCAAAAATAGACCGCCGTCTCATCCTGAAGATGATCTTTTCGCTTTTCATGCTAGGCTTTGCACCTGTCAAGCACTGTATGAAGGAGATCGCTCGCGCAATGAGCTTCTCGTCCGAGAAAGCACCTGCGGCGGAACGAGATATCAATCCTGCAGCGGGGCTGCCGTAGCTCTTTCGCTTAAAGGAAACTTAGTTAAGCTCACCGACCTTCGTTCTATACTAGAACCAGTACGAGTGTAGCGGATTTCAATCCGCTTATTCCAAGAGAAACCAAAACCTCAACCCAAGGCAAATAAACACTTTCGATCAAAATATAAACTATATTTTTTGCGGCAAAGCCGCCAATATCTAAATCTATAAGTTTTTCAGAGTTTGTAGTAAAACTTAATTTAAGTGCAAAACTACTAGCTATCCAGCCACGTAGTGGCTTCTTGTTAAGGTGTAGCCACACCATTGTTTGATCACACCATCTCGTGTAACCCCCCCCTTCATACCATGGTACGTAACACTCTACCCCATCAAAATTGCGAGCACATACAATTCACATTTAACTGTCGCCTCGTACAATGCTCGCGTGTCCCAGACACCTTCATGTCCCTAGAACCTTCTTCACGCACTCTCTGCTCAATGAGCCCTGTGTCCTCCAGGACACGAAAAAGACCCAGCCTTGCCGATTCCAAAAGAGCCCGCGGGCAGAGCTCTTCTTTGTCTCCTGCACGCGGTGCAACTTCGGACAGCACTTCCGCGGCTTCAAGGAAAGTGCATTCCAAGCCCTCGACAACCGAGCATCGCACAGCATGCCAGCCACGGGCAACGGATTAATTCGTTAAGGATTCCAAGAAGGTCGACTATGAGTCAGATACTCCTACCCAGGATGGTAAGAAGAGGAGAAAGAGGTGCGCCAGCGGCACGACGTAAGCCTTGCTCAAACCTTGCGGACACCGTGTCCGTTCCTGACCTCTCGAATTCCGGGGGAAGTGGTGTCATTAGCAATCACCTCAACAAGGCACAGAAGCAGCAGCTGGAGGCTGCCCACAAGGCGGCTCTCATGCGCTTGCATCCACATTCGGTCCTTGACCCTCCTGTGGAATACGGCTACTGCTCGGCGGATCTCGCTACTGAAGCAAAAGACGTGATCACATGATCGTGAGGCGTCTACGTGGTCCACTACACTAGCCAAGCTTGACCAACGAGAAGCTCTTCGAGCTCGCGTATTGGTATTTCAAGAAATCCCAATGGATAGGTACTGCGCTCGACTTCGAGCTCAAAGAGGAGGAGCTCCTGTACCTGCGACGCGGACGATTCCTGTGGTGCTCGTCCCTGATGAGCACCACCCATTGCTTTTAAGCGATGGGTACAGCGGCAGCGGAAACTTTCCTCGTTGCTCAACTTGCAGCGGAGCCACAAGAAGATGAACGTGTGCGTGGAACGCCATGTCCGGTTCGAGTTTGCCAGACTCATGGCGCAACGCCGACTTACTACGTATTTCGCCCCGCGACGTATGGACTAATCCGCCAAGCTCGTGGAAGCTCTATGGTCTTTTATATGGGTGGGTCTGCACCCACAGATGCTCAGGGCTATAGATTAGCTCAGCTCATTTTCCTACCGCTTCCCTGGCTATTGCCGTGAAGCGCGGGGCGTTTGACGTCGTGGAACGTCATAATCTCTCTGACCATAAGCGTCCATGATGTCTGGGCAGTCTTGCCGAAGTGGCACCTCAAGCTCCCACGAGTTCTCGGAGTTTTGTTATCCCCGCGACTTCTCAAGATACTGGATTTGACCCTGTCGACGACGTCGACGCACAAGACGTTTCGCATGATAGTGGACACCACCGTTCTCGTCGAAAAGAAAAGGCGCAGGACGATGGCGGTTTGGGTCGATCGCCGTCCGTTGACTCGCAATGCTCTTCGTGCTCTTGAGGACAACGACCGTCGCGATCGGGACTCCGTTGAGCATCATGCTGGGGTCGCCTACCGCTGTGCGGATGTCCTCGAGAGGTTGGAGCACTTTATACACCAACTGCATCACGTTGAGGGCTATCAAGTTCGTTTGGAGCGGCTCCTAGCCGTCGAGCAGACGAATGCGTCACTTTGTGCGACGGTGGAGCGCCTAGACAGTTGGATATGAAAATCGTTGGACTCCGTGTTCAAATCCATTTGTGGGGGCAGCTTTGGATGATCGAGCGCCTTTGGGCACCGTCCCGGCGCCAACGCTTCCGCGTTCACTTGTGCCGGATCCCGGTACGGCTCAAGCAAGCCCACATAAACACCGTGTGCGTGATTTCTTCACGAAAGGTTTAGCGTATGTAAGGCCTCGCCTGCCCACGACTGTAGAAGTCCGATAAACTGCGGACGGTGCTTTGACTTGAAGACAGCAGAGAATGCATGAGTAGGAAGGATTTTAGCATTTAAAAATTAAGATTCCGACATCAAAGTGTTCAACATTTCTTCTGCTTCTTTCGTCTGCATATTCTTTCTGCATGTCTTGGCTTTCAGCCATCGCATCGCGAACGTGTCATTGGACACTCAGTCTGGTGGACAGGAAGTCATTGAATTCTTTAAGGACAGTGAGGGGGCTGACATCAGCTAGCCGTTCGACTATTCCTCCTTCACAAGCCCTGAACCATGGGATGGCGGCGTCAGCGGGACGCGAGGATTAACAAGCCCGTTCACGTAGAGCTGCGTGTACTCGGTAGAAGCAGCTCTGCATTGTTGAGAGTGAACTCTACAAGTGGCAGCATGGCGCTCCAGCGCCTCGGCTTCCCAGCGCAGACGCTGCGAAGAACGTCTTCAGCGACGCGTTTCACGCTCTCAATTTGACCATCGCTCTGCAGATGGCCCGCTGTTGACATTATCAACTTGGTGCTTAACACCTAGAGGATTAGCAATCAAAACGTTCCAGTGAAGCGTAGGTATCTGTCACTCATTCCGCGAGTCTAAAGACACGATCCACAAACAGTCTCGCTGTCCTGACACCATCGATGGTGTTCGGCACTGCCGCAAGATGAGCTAACGTGCTCAAACGGTCCACAAAGACCACCACACCCTTGTTGTTTGCCAAGTCTCTTGGCAGGCCAAACACAAAGTCCGTATTCACCAAAACTGCTCACAACCGGAAGGTGCCGGTAACAGGCCCGTGGTACCGCCGCATTCGACGAGGAGTCTCACCCTTTGAAACGTCTCACACGTGCGCACATCCGTGAACGTCTATTTGAGCTGTTTAAGCCAACAGTAGTGGCAACTCCTAGAGCTGTACAACCGAAATGATTGTGAAGAGCCACAATTCGTGGCGTATCCGTCGAGTCGGTGCCATAATATTATAGAATGAATCGTGACGACAACTTCTTGTTCGAGTTTGGAAATTTCTTGCTCCCGAAAGCCCGTAGTAGCACTACGCACATATCATCACCCATGTATGCGGTGCGTATCAAATCCGTCACTGTCGTGACATGAGCACTATCGTAATCCGATCTGCGTGACAACGCATCAGCTTAAGTAATCTGCTTTCCTGGCATATACTTCATCTCAAGGTTATATTCTGTGACGAAGGAGAGCCACTTGGCCATTCTCTGCGAGAGATGAGGCGACTGAGTCGCCGTGCGTATTGACGCATGATCTGTGTAGATCACAAACAGCTTTGAGCCAAACAGATGTACCCTGAACTTGACCAAGGCATACTTCATCGCAAGTAATTCCTTGTCGTGGGCTGGGTAACTCCCATCTGCAGCCTTGAGCTGGCAAGATTCGAACGCGATCACCCGGTCTCGCCCCTCGGAGTATGCTTGCAGATGGAAAAGTCTGAAGCATCACAGACGACATCAAAAGGACGATCGAGGTCTGGCAACGCCATAGTGGTGCATGAAGGAGACTGTCTTTGATCCTGTCATATGCCTTCCGATGTTCGGTAGCCCAACCCCGTTTCGTATCCTTTTAAAAAGATTCGACAGTGGCCGTGCCATTTCCGCATAATTTAGCGTATAGTTGTGCAAGATGTTGGCGAGGCCAAGCCACTTGCGCAAGTCCTTTTAGTTCTTTTGACCGGTCAGTCCATAATGGCCTTGACCTTAACGGGGTCTGCTCGAATGCCACGCTTTCCAATAAAGCACACTAGAAAGGGATTTTCGTTGGCGTTGAAGATGCACTTGTCTGTATTTGCATACAGCTTATTCCTGCGCATGCACTCGAGCACCGCTGTCAAATGGACGATGTAGTTCTCTTCCTCCGTTCTCCTGTGCTTCTCACGACCGTGGACGAAGATTTCGCCAAAGCATTTATGGGCAAACGCCCGGTGGGCCTGAACGACTGCATCACACAGACGATGAATGTTGTTGGTGCATTTAACAGCCCTTGGAGCATCACCAGCCACTCCTAGAGCATCCCGCTCGAAGGACTTACCGCTGCCAGCGGAATATTATTCGCTCCCACGAGCAAATTGGCAATAACCATCGACCGAGTCGAGTGCACTGTACTTTGTAAATCCAACTATTATGTTCTGGAGAACAAACTTCCAAGGAATCGGCGTCTGTGCCGGAATGGTGGCAGCATTTAGCTTATTGTAAGCGTAAACGATACGTCACTCGACTTTCGGCTTCCAGACACAAAACGTGAGTGTCGAACGGGGAGACTTGCTCTCACGCACTATTCCTGCGTCGTGCTTCGCACAGAATAAGGCTTCAATGACGTCACACTGCTCCTTGGGCAGTGGTCATTGGCGTGTTACGCAGTGTTTGATTCCCGGAACCAGGTCGA